AACCAATAATTAGAAATAATAAAAATCATGACAGAAACACCAAACCTTACTCACGAACAAAAAGAAGCCAATAAGAATTATATTTTGGCTAACCTAGACAAATACAAAGTTATGGACCGCATTTGAAAGGATAAAAGTTGCTGAAAATTAATTACCAACAAGAATTTTGTTGAGGACATAATGGAGTTAATTTTGTTAGAAAAAGAAAATTGGGAGATAGTTTGTGATGAATGATGTAAAAAAAACATGAACGGTTATTTGAAACCAAGATTTTTCAAATATCGTCCCACTGGCGAAACAATAGAAGCAGAATTTTATGATATATTTAATTTCGACCAAGCCTATATTCTAACCGGAGAACTAGGATGACGAGAAAAAATATGAAAAAACTACGATAAATGAGGAAAATACAGAACTCAAAGATGATGAGAAAAACGAAAACTAAAAAAAGCCGCTAAAAATCAATCCCAAACCACCTCCCCAACAACCAATCCCGAAACAGAAAAAGAACAAGAGGAGTTTAATAAAGAATATGAAGAGGCTAAAAAACAAGCCGAACAAGAAAGCCAAAATCAAAACCCCAACTCCACTCCTACTGAAAACAACAATCCCGACCAACCCAATCAACCTCTTAATCAAGAACAACCAACCAATAATCCTCTTCCCGCTCCTAAAATTATTCAAGAAAACTACAATAACGACAAAGATAAATCCACCATTGAAAATAATGATAACTTAACCACTTCCGAACAAAAAGAACAATCCGAAGCATTATTGAAATTAATCATTGAAGCAGAACTCCTAATCAAAGATAACCAATTTAATAGTGAAACTTTATCTAAACTAATTCAAGAAAAAGAACAAAATACGGAAACTTATCAACTCCTCAATGAGGAGGGAAAAATAGATATAGAAAGTATTCAAAAGCAAAAGAATAATAATAAATCATTAGCCAGTCAGAAAGATAAGGGTAGGCAACTCCTCCTGGCTGGAATAATTATCGGTACTTGAATTTTATTGTTGGTGGGGTTAGCAGCCGTATTTATTGTAAAGAGAAATGGAAAAAACAGAAAGAAGTAATTAGCAAGTAATTAGCGTTGTGTGTGTTTTTTGAAATCTAGACAACTAGAAGTTTTTCACAACGTTGACAAACGCTTTTTTCCAAATTTCGGTAATTTCAACACCTTAGACACCTTTCCTTGTCAATTTTTTTCACCTCAACCAAGCAAAAATTGCTTTCTTGCATACCGCTTTCCTTTTTTTCTCCAATCTCAACTTCTGCCACCAGCAATAATTCTTTCAAGTTAAGTTCGGAATAATCTCATTCACTTTCTTTTTTTAGATAAATTATTAAATGGGCTTGCGAGTTAGCATTAATAACTTTTTCTTGACGGGCTTTTTCTAAGGCCTGATAAACATCTTGACGAAGGGGAAGCAAAAAATCAGTAATTAATTCTATTTTCTTTTCGTTAGCGGGTGCAAGAAGCAAGTTTCGAGAATAGTTTGCTAAATAAACACTCTCTTGACCCGCAAAACCAAAACAGAAAGGGATATTGTGATAAACTTCTTCGGATAAGTAAGGTAAAACAGGTGAAATAATTTTTAACAGTCCTTTTAATAAGTAATAAAGAGTAGTAATAATTTGCCGGCGACGAAGAGAATAAAGACTATCACAATATAAACTATCCTTGCTAATTTCAAAATAGAAAGAACTTAAATCATTAATACAGAAATTCAATAAAGAGGAGTAAATAGGGTTAAAATTATATTCATTATAGTTTTTTTGGCTTTCTGTCGCTATTTTTTCTAACTTATGAAGAATGTAATAGTCTGCTGGACTTAATTCTTGCTCTAAATCTTTTTCGTTTTTCAGTTCCGGAGGCATGTTCGCTAAATTACCGAGCAAAAAACGGAGAGTGTTGCGAATTTTTTGATAACTTTCGCGAGTCTTTTCTAAAATTGGGATACTAACTTTTACTTCTTTGGTAAAATCACAACTGACTACTCATAAACGCAGAATATCGGCACCAAATTGTTTTATAATATCCTCAGGATCAATGACATTACCTAATGATTTGGACATTTTATGTCCTTTTTCATCGACTACAAATCCATGAGAGAGAATTTGCTGATATGGTGCTTTACCAGCAAGAATAACCGAAGTAATTAGCGAGGAATTGAACCAACCACGAAATTGGTCTTGCCCTTCGACATAAAGGGTGGTAGGTCAGTTGATTATTTTTTTATTATTCATTTCTTTTTAAGTTTTCTAACATTTGCTCAATAAGTTCAGTTAAATTTTTTAAATTAACAACTGATAAACTTCCATCATTTATTCGCTTTTTTCATAAAGTCCAACCATTATCATCAATTTTTTCTACTTCTTTGTTTCATTTTCCTTTGGAAACAAAACGAACCAATATCTGTGGGGAACTATTGTCAGAGGACAAAATATTTAATAATTTGCGGTCAGTTTTATCTTGGATTAAATGCTCGCCACTAGTATCAATAGCAACAACATTATCCTTATATCAAACCAAAAAATCCGGATAAAAGTTTCGAGTATCACCACGAGTAATTAAAGGAATAGAATAACCACTCCGAGAAGGATTACGACATCATTTTACGGAAAATTTATCTAATTCTTGGACGAATTCCTTTTCTAGTTTATTTAGTTGAGAATACCTTTCATGAAGACTATTTTTGAATGGTAATGACTTTTGAGGGTTGTAAAGCAAAATATCAGGAATTTTATAATTTTCCACCGAACTTTGTTCGAGATAAGAATTTTCTAAATAAATGTCAACTATTTTGTTAATTTTTTCAATAATTTCTTTATGAACTCATGATTCTGAACCAACTAGAGCATCGAATTTAGGGTCATCGAGGCAAAAAACTCCGCGGGCTTGGGGCAATTTACGAGTAATTTCCCGGTAAAAAATGGCTCGGGCAGTGGTGCGACTAGTTTCCCCAATTTTTTCTCTTAAAACTTGCTGAGTATTACCTTGCTCGTCAATATATTTTTTAGTAATTGAGCGATAGCCAGTTCCTCAGGTTTTTTCTTTATCTTGGCGTCAGTCAGGTATATTTCGGATAATTTTATTTATTTCCGGTTCTGCGTCCACACTATTACAAATGATGATTGGCACTTCATAGTCGCCTTGAACTTTAACTAATTCAGGCTTTTCAGTCGAACTTACCACTTTTACTTCAATTTCCGGAGCAGTTTGTTGTAATTCTTGATTAACTTCCTCAATTACTTCTTGAAAAGCACTTTGTTTTTCTATCTGAATATAAAAATGAGCGGTATTTAGCATTTCCGGCAACTGGTGGGTAATATTAGGTTTAGGCTGTCGTAAAACTCGTCCAATAATTTGTTAACGGCAATTTTAGAATTAATAAAGCGGTCAATATAAGCAGCATAAACTAATGGGTCATCTCAACCTTCTTGTAAGCCTAAATTAAAAATAATATGCTGATAATCACCGGCAGTAAATTCTTGATATTTTTTCTCGCCACCACCACTGAATAATTTAAATTCTGGGGGTTTAGGATAATTTTTAGCAAACTTCAAATCACAGTAAGCGGCAATATTTTCGGATTTGACACCACATTTTTCCACTAAATATCGTCAAATTAAAATAGGTGGGGCTTTTCTTTCCGAAAAATTTTGGTTAATATTATCTTGTAAGCGAGGGTCAAATTCTAAAACATTAGTGTGACAAACATAAATGGCCTTAGGTTTTTGCTGGGGTAGATTGGATTGTTTAATTTGTTCTTCAATTTGGCTCAAATCCCCGATCAGGGAAGAAACAGTTTCTTCCATCGGAGTTTCATAAGCAGCCAGTTTTAATACTTTTTTCACTAAACCGGCTTCTACCACTTTTCCCGTATCAACCCGGGTTATAAAATCTTTATTTTCTCATTTATTTATCCTTTTTAGTTCGTCATACTGTTCTTTTAGTTTTTGGGGAAATTTCATGGTCGCACTGGCAATTAAAAAAACACTTGGCTTCAATTCCAATAATAAATCAGTTTGTTGGTCGGATAAATTATGTCCCTCGTCATAGACAATAAATAAGGGTCTTTCCCCGCGGTTTTTTAAACTTTCTCAGGTGCTTTGATTTTGTTCGTCTAGTTTACATTGATAAATTTGGCGATTGCCAGCCTCCTTGTCTTTTTGATTAAAAGTTCCCACAGTAGCAAAAAGAACCAGAGTTTCATTTTCCTCTAATAATCTTTCTTGATATTCTGACAACATAATAATTTCGCTTTTGCCTAATAAATGGTGATATTTGCCTCCGCTGGTTAAGTTATCAAAACTTTGTTCGACTACTACACTGGCTTTGCTTAACCACAAAATTATTGGTTTTAAGGAAGTTAATTTGCTAATTTCACCCACTGTTTTGGCTAAAATTACCGTTTTTCCCGAGCCAGTTAGAGCATCTAAAATTTGGATAAAAGGAACTGGTATTTCTTCTTCACTCTCTATTCTTTTGATGGTTATCGATATACGATTATTGAGATATTTTTCGTATTTTTCTACTATTTCTAAAACGGCTTTTTCTTGAAAACCGAATAATTTTAACATAGTTTTTAATTTTTTAAAGCCAAAGTGATATGTAAAGATTTTTCCACTTTTTCTATCATCTCCTCCGAAACTTTGGTAATTCTATCCAAAAATTTCTCTCTGTCAATTGTTTGAATTTGGTCTACTAATATTATGCTTTCTTTTTTTAATTGGATAAAAATTTGAAAAGGAAATATTTTGTCGCCTGCTTTCAAAGAAGTAATAGGCATAACAGTTATTAAAGGGCTAAATAAGTTTTGTCTTTCGTTTGAAATTACTAAGCAAGGGTGGATTTCTTTCAATTCTCGTCCTTTGCTATCCGGTAAATCTACTCAAAAAACTTCTCCTCGTCTAATTAACTTTTCGGTCATTTCTTTTTTTTAAGATTTTAGTCGCTACTGATTTTCTTTTGTTTCGTTCGTAATTTAATCAACTTTCTATTCCAGCCCTTTCTCACTTTTTCGCTAACTCTAATAAATGAGGGTTATTAACATAGCATTCCTGATAGGCTCTGCCTAAATTTTCTTTTTCTTGCTCTAATTTTTCCTCTATGGTTTCTTTAACAAATTTACTAATTTTACCTTTACCTACTTCTTGCTGTAAACGCTGGTATAAAGCAATTGGAATGATAATACTTAAAGTTTGTTTTGGTTCTACTTGTTTCATAATACTATAATTTTACATTGTTATAATGTTAAGCCTACTTAAAAAAATTATTATGTGCTATGTAGTGAGTGCTATAAAAAAATTCCGGAAAGTGAAGAAATTCAAATTAAGGCCTCAATATTTTGTAAAAATTGTGCCGAAACTAATAAACTAATTAAAAAAGAAATAGTTGCCAAATGCCATACTTGCCCTAAATTAATTTACAGTGACGAAAGAATTTATGAAAGTTTAATAAGTAGTGGTAAAAGCATGAGTTTCTGATTAAGTATTAATAGAAGCAATTCAAAAGGGTTAATTCAGTGTAGTAGATGTCATAAAAATTCGTTAATTAAAATGAAAAAAGAAGAAAGGTGATGAAAATGGAAAGAGAATATAATGGTTGTTTTTATCTGCCTTCTTTTATTGTCGTTGTTGTTTTTGATTTACCCAGATTTCAAAAAAAATTTTGAGAAAAATTTTGATAATGCCCACTGAACAATAAAAAATTTTTGATTTATTTCAACATGGGGCATTTTAATTATTCTTTTGTGGCGAGCAATTTCGTAGGATCAAGTCTAGAAAAACGAATAAAAAAGACTAATTAAATCTATCTTTTTCTAAATCAAAACCAAAATCTAGTAAAATACTATCCGGAATTTGATAAAAGTTAATAGTATCTACTTGGCATAAATATAAACGAGCATAAACGTGATAGGGTGTTTTTAAATTATTTTCTTGGGTTTCTCTGACTATTTTTTCGTAAACTTCTTTGGTAAAATTAGCATTTTTATCGGGTCCATTTCACACTAAAAAAAATCCTTCATCATTAGTGTTTTTAGCAATTAAGTAATTATATTTTTGGTCTTTAAGCAGTTGTAGTCCTTGGTATTTTTGATGATATTTATCAATTCGGCTGGCAATAATGGTATCAATTAATTCAGTTCTTTCCATTTGCAAAATGGCCTGGTTATTGATTTGTTTATCCAAAGTAGTAAATTTAAATCCTCCGCCTAATGGTTCATGTTCTTTTTGTTCGGCTCATTTACCAGTAATAGCGGCTTGTTTTTTGTAAAAGAGTGCGGCCAATAGTCGTCCCCGTTTTCCACATTTCCTTGTTCTATCAAAATAAAACTTCGGTTGGCTCCGGTTTCTTTATTTAATTGTAAAACAGCATGTCCGGTGGTTCCAGAGCCAGCAAAAGGGTCTAAAACCAGCCCATTAGGGGAGCATCAGAGTTGAATGATTTTTTTGAAAAGTTTGAGAGGTTTCAACGGGTCAAAACCATGTCCGCGACCAATTAAAGCATTTACTTCCTGCTTTCCTGCTTGGGTATGTCCGGATTGAGTAAAAGGTCAAGATACTGTTCGTAATTCTAGCGGTATTTCATAAACTTCTGGCTCCCAGTAGGTAAGGGGAACTATACCACTTTGCACTTCAGCAAAATAAGTTTTAAATCTTATTTTGCCGGCTCCTCCTTTTAGGAAAATTAATTTCGGTCAAGGACCAGTTTCATAAATCTTTTGGGTTTTATCTCTTGCCTGTTGGACTACTGGGTCGCTTAATGGCTCATCCAAATCCAAAGGATTTTGGCTATTTTTAAGTAATAAAGCCTTTGCATATCCGTCATTTAATTCTCTTTCTTCATATTCGGAACCTCATTGCTCTAATAATTCTTTCATAGTAGATTTACCTTTACTTCAATGAGTATTCTTGGTAGGATAAATTAATTTTCCCGTAAAGGGGTTTTGGATTGCATAAGCCATTTTATAATAATGCTCTTGTGATTGTGGGTCGGCACTTTTTCAAGGACCATTTGGGTCGTTATCTGGGTTTTGAAATCTAGTTTTTTGTTTTTCTGTATGTTCCAACTTCCCCGTTTCGGCGTGTGCTAAATTTTTGGCGTAAACTAAAATGTATTCGGTTGCGGAAGAAACATGAGTTAGTGTTTTAGGAGAATACATTTTTTGCCAATTACTACTCCTTTCACAATTAATTTCCGTTTTTTTAATTGTTTGCAATTACATAGTAATTTAGTAAGCAATAAAAAGCGGACAAAAAATATGAAAAAGGTAGTAATTATAGCAATGCGGTTGTTCTCTCCAAAAATCTCATCTAGCATTTTCCCAACATTAAAAAGTTCTCGGTGGTCAATACAAAAGGCCAAAACTCCACTATTTTTTAACATCTGCTTTATCATCTGTATCCTTGGCAACATAAATTTCATTCATTTAGTATGGCGGCTAGGGTCATCAGCCTTAACATAATCATCTAATCCCGGGTCATTCGGGTCTTGGTCTCATTTATCATTATAACGAAAATCTTTGCCCGTATTATATGGAGGGTCGGCAATTATGAGGTCAATTTTGCCGTGATATTGGTATAAAGTTGCCATGGCTAATAAATTATCACCTTCAATTACCAGATTTTTGGTTTTTTGTTCTTCATTACCAATACTTAATTCTGGTATTTCTTTTAAGGTTCTAGGTTTTACTTTGCGGGCTATCCTTTGGGCGTTTTGGCTTTGCCAGAAAAAAGGATTTTGATTCCGCCTTGCGAATAGTCCTCTAATTTGGTTTCTAGTTCTTGGATTTTGGTTTGGAGAGAATTAATTAGTTCCTGGTTCATTATTATTAAAATTTTACATATCAAATTAATGAAAGGAGAAATAAAGCCTAATGAAGGACGCAAAATAACAAGCACAATTTGTGAAATACACGTTAATAACTCTAGTTTTTTACATGTGTATTTAAAAGAACAAACATGAAAAGGCAATTATGCCAGTGGACGTTGCCGGGGAATAATGTCAGCGCCCAGTTCCAGCGAAGACAATGAAGAATATGACAAGCAATTTGTAATATTTACAAATATATTAATTAATCTTTCAAGAGCAAAATACAGTAAGGAAAAATTATCTTCAATTAACTTATTTATTAGGTTAGCAACTATAAAGAAAAACGTTTATAATAATGGTTATTTGGTTTTGGGTAGAACATTGAATTTAGCAGAATATTTGAATATAATTGAAAAAAATGAAAGTTGGATAGAATATTTGCTTTATCTAGTAGATTATGGCAGAGAAAACAATGGTTGCGTAATATTCGACCCGATTGAACTAGATGAATTTTGCTTGAAATATTTCTATCTTGGCCTTAAATATTTGAGTTACATTGTAGACATTAAAAAAATTGAATATAGAGATAGATATTTATATTCAGAACCTAAACGTCTTCAATATCTAGATAATTTACTACTTTTTTAATAATTAATTTCCGTTCTGTGTTATTTATTTTCTTCTCATTATAAAACAACTTTTTTTAAAAGATTTTAATATCCAAGTAGCAAGAAGCACAGAAATCTCTGTTTCTTCATTTCACGAAACCAAATTTATTTTCTGATGTCTTTCTTCTTCCACAACCAATACATTTTATTACTTCTGTTGGCATATAACTTAATATTTAACAACAACTGACTTTACTATATTTATTATTTTAGTTGTTTTTAGGAGGAATTTCTATTTGGGATGTTTGTTCTGGTTCTTCTTGAATGTTAAGATTATCTAGGTTTAGTTCTAAATCCTTAGAGGCTAATAATTGAGTGATTTGTTTAGTATTTATTGGTTTACTAGTAGTAATGGCTGTGGGATGGATTTGGTAAGGAGTGTTTTGGGAGAAAAGGTTGTATTCTTGTTCTAGGGATTGGTATTGTTGGTAGAAAGGAGCGTTTTTTTTGTCTCTAACTTCATCATTCCAACTACCAACAATCCCGTTCAAATTCCCAGCACTGGGTCTCTGGGCAGGGTCAGCATCTCAACATCTGGTAATTAAATCTTTTAATAATTGGGGTATTGGCAACTTGCCTATCTTAGGTCGTAAACCATTACATATTTTTAAAGATAAATCTAACTCATTCGTGCTTGGATAAGGATAAGCCTGAGCCAAGAGTTCAGCAGCAATGACACCCCAAGAGTAAATATCACTAACTTTGGTATAAGGTTGACCTTTTAAGACTTCTGGTGCCACATAAGGGAGAACTCCAAAGATTTGTCCTTCTTGTTTTTGGTAGTTGGCTGTTCTACTTAGTCCTAAGTCAGTGATGTAAGCATTTCAATCATTATTTAAAATATTCCCACTATGGAAATCTCGATGGACTAGATTTTGGTTATGAATACCATTTAACCCCTGGGCAATACAATTTAACTTTCAAAGTTTATCCTTCAAACTTAATTTACCAGTCTTATTTTGTAAATATTGTCTTAAATTACCTCCTTTTATATACCCCATCACCATCACATAATTTTTAGTAAGAGGGTCTTGGGAGAGACCATGAAAAGAGATAACAACTTCTTCAACTAACTTAATATTAGCAATCTCGGTTAAAAATTCTAAGGTAATGTTTTGGGAATTAGTGAGAGATTTGAGAACAACCATTTTATCACTATAACTTTTTTCTCCCTTTCATGTAGCCTTATAAATCTTACTAAAACCACCCTCCCCAATTTGTTCAATGTCAGCAAACTCTTTATAAGGAATTCATTGTAATTTACTGTCTTTATCTCTTTCCTTTTGTTGTTCAATAAACTTCTCAATTAATTCTTGCCCAGATAATTGTTCTCATTCCTTTTCAGCACAAGGTTGACATCATCTAAGACTAGTGTTAGGTTGAAAACATTTTAGACAACGACCATGTTCATTAAATCTTTTTAATTCAGGAACAATAGTAGTTAATTGACGGTTGGGTCTATATTCAGTGGAATATCAAATACTCTTTAAACTCCGAGGTAATTTTTCTCAATTTACTTCATTTATATCAGTATTATCAATACCAAGAGTTTTTAATTGTTTACAATTGCTTAGATAATCTAAGGAACCTGTGAAGTTGTTGTTTTGTAAATAAAGAAATTTTAAATTAATAATCCCTTTTAAAAAAGATAAGTCTTGGGTGGGGAAATTATTATTGCTTAAATCTAATATTTTTAAATTAGTGGGATTAGTAGGTAAAGTGAGATTGGTTAGTTTATTACCTCAACAATTAAGATTAGTTAAATAAGAACAATTGCTAACATCTAAATTAGTTAGTCGATTACTAGAACAATCAATCTCCTCTAACTGAGAACAATTACTTAGATTGAGAGAGGTGAGTTTATTATGTCAGCAATTTATTTTTTCTAAATTAATAAAATCGGAGAGGTCTAAGGTTCCTTCGAGGTTTTTATCTCTAATATCTAATCATGTTAATTTTTTTCTTTCTTCTTTCGGATACTCCTTATCCAACCATTCTTGGGCATTTACCATAATGCTTCTGAACTAAATAGCAAGGCAAAAAATCACCAATGTCAAAAATGTTCTAAATGTGGCAAATATTCCTCTTACGATAGTCTTTCCTTACATGAACTTTACGAATGTTCGACTTTCCAAACAAACTCCTCTAACCAATCTCCAACTCAACTTACTCAACTGATTAATCAGCAACTCATTTTACTTAATCAATTAACCACTACTCTTAGCCAACTATCCTTAAATATACAAGGATTAGTTAGCAGTATTAGCAATAACCCTAATCTTACTTCTCAACAAAAACAACAAGCCCTCAACAATATCAACACTAACCTTACCGATTTACAAAACATTAAAAGTGATATTGATGGGAAATTAGGAAGGTTAAGAAGTTTTCAAACATCCTCAAATAATTCTAAAAAGCCTACTAATTGAACTCCTTGGATAATTGGAGGCGGGGTTATCGTGGTTTTAGTGGGAGGAATTATTTTCTTGCTAACTAGGAGTAGAAAGAAAACTAGAAAATAGTTATAAAAGGGAAGTTTTGAGGTCTGGTTTTAGTTCTTGTATTTTGTAATAGTGAACTTTTTTTAGTTGTTTTTGGGAGGAATTTCTATTTGGGCTTGGAGGGAGGTTTCTCCTTTTTCCTCTAAATTGGTCTCTTTTAATTGCTCTCCTAGTTCTGAGATTTCTGTTGTTTCAGTGGGGATATTTACATATTCCATGCCCTTAGAAGCTTGTAATAATTGAGTGATTTGTTTGGTATTTATAGGTTTGCTATGCCAAGTTTCTTGGGAGTGGTAAGTAGGATATTTGATTTCATCTGGTAAAGTTTTATTGTATTCTTCTGCTTCTTGGATTTGTTGGTAGAATTGGGTGTCTTTTTTTAATTGTCAACCATTATCATAAAACCACTCTCCTACTATTCCACTTACTTCCTTAGCAGTAGGTCTATTATTTGGCTCTTGGTCTCAGCATTTAGTAATTAAATCTATTAGTAATTGGTGATATTTAATCTGAGCAGAAAATTTAGGTCTTTCTCCTTTACATATTCTGGTTGCTAGTTTGGTATCATGGGATTGTTCCATATAAGGAGGTATTCCAGTAATTATTTCATACATAATCATGCCTAAGGAGTAGATATCTGCTGCTGGGGTGTAAGACTGACCCATTAGAACTTCGGGGGCTACATAAGGCATTACTCCAAAGACTTTATTATCATCTTTTTCATCTGCTGGTTTAGATAAACCTAAGTCGGTGATGCTACAATACTGAACTTCTAAAAATTTTATAAAGAGTTAATTCTTGTAAGAATTCTTGGTTTAGATTTTGGGAGTTAGAGAGAGTTTTTAAGGCTACTGTATTTTCATACCTATTTCTCTCTCATTCTCCTTTTTCATTATCCCATTCTAGAATAGAACCTCCTTCTCACTCAGCCTTATAAACCTTGCCAAATCCTCCCTCAGCAATATGTTCTGCCTTAGTAAACTTCTCATAAGGAATTCATTTTTTCTGGATTAGGAAGATAAGGTATCTGAGTGAGGTAATTATCAGAACATTTAAGTATCTCTAAATTCTTAAAATCAGAAAGGTCCAATTCTCCTTCTAAGGCTTTTTCTCTTATATCCAACTCTTTTATTTCTTCTCTGATTTTACCAAAGTCTTCGTGGGTTTCACCATCTCTTATTCTTACACAAGTTCCATTTTTAGGATAGTTTTGGTTTATATATTCTTGGGCAAGAATACAGGGGGTTATTTTGGTTTCCTTAGTTTCTTTATCCCTCCAATCCTCATAAGAACCCCCTTTTATCTCAAATTTACTCCTATCTACTGAGGTAGAAATAAATATTCTATATAAATTTTTATACTCCCTACAATCTAAAACTCCTTCTAGTTGTTGGTTTATATCTATTCTTTCTGTTCCCTTATCAGGATAATATTTTTTTAACCATTCTTGGTTCTTTTGGCTCTTGTCATAGTATTCGGTTCTTAATCCCTCTAAATCTAATTCTGATTGGGGAGTATAACCTTGTTTAGTTAAATAACAAGCAAAACCATAATCCTCAGGTTGAAAACCAAAATCTATTCAGGATTTTAATTGCTGAATACTAAAACCTTTACCTATTCAATATAGTTGTTCAGCAATTTCTTTAACTTTACTTTCGGGTCTTTTTTCACTAGAACAATAAATATATTCTACACTGGCTGGTAAATATTCCCAACCACTATCTATATCAGTATTGAAAATATTTAGTCATTTTAATTTAGTCAAATTTTTTAAATGCTCTAAGGAACCATGAAATTTATTATCACTGATAATTGAATAAGTTAATTTATCAGGGTTTAAAGATGAATAATCAAAGTTAGTTAAATAATTATCACAACACACAATTGTCTCTAATTGGGTCAAGCCAGTTAAGTTTAATTCAGTAAGTTTATTATAATAGCAACAAAGATAAGTTAAATTAACAAAATCGGTTAAATTGAGAGAACCTTCAAGATCTTCATTATAAACTCAATCTTGTTATTTGTTCTCTTTTTTCCTTAGTATTATATTCTTCTTGATCTTCTAACCATTCTTGGGCATTTACCATATACCTATTTTACCCTTTTACAAACTAATTATCCCTCTCTTTTCCTCATCACTCATTGCTAATCATTCATTCTCAGTAATTCTAATTCCAAAAATCCTTTCTAAACTATTTATGATATCTCTTTCTTCCTCCGTTAATCCTTGCCTATCAGCAAAAAAAGGTGGTAAATCAGTAGCCTCTAAGGGACGGAAAATCTCAAAACTTTCAACTATTAAATAAATTCTATTACCCATTTTTTGTTTTCTTTTATTTTTGGCTTCCCCTAATGGAATAGTTTCATAATTACAAGATAGTTGGTCTTTATCCCAAAAAAGCACTTCATTTTTTAGTTTCCCAACAAACTTTATTTTTTTTCCTTTTCAAAAATTCCTTTTTCTAACAATTTCTGCTATACCTTCTCCTGTGTCTGAAACTACAAAATCACTACTACTAAATGCTAAACCATCTACCAACAAGCCCTGGTTATATTCACTTTGAAAAGCCACATAAGGATAATCTAAGGAGAATTTAAAACGGACATAAAAGGGACTATCCTTTCAAACCTGTAAAGCAAGGTCGGTTCTGTTATCAGTAATCTTAAAATCAGCATAATAAAATAAGTCCCCCCTAAGAGTTCCAGAAGTTATTTTGTTGTTGGTTTGGTCATATCAATTATCATCCTCATCATAAGGATTAATCCCAGTTATTGGACTTGGTTGTTGTTCACTAGGCTTAGTTAACCAAGTATAACCAAAATAAGAAGTTAATAATCCTATGGTTC